TATGTTGCTATGGTGACAATGGATACATGGAAGGCTTGAGCTTCTCGTTACACTGCCACCTACAGGTTTGGCATGCCAGCTCTCCATAGTGGGTTTACCTGTTCATCCACCATGGATTTCTGTACTGTGGATTGCTTCGCCATGTGGCTGTACATTCCGCCTTTGAGTGTGCGCCACGGTTTCCACTCTTCATCTTCATCATCACCGCTGGCAAGACCCTCTCTGTTTACAGTTGGCTTTGCACAGTGGTGTCGGCTTCTCTTGAGAGTACTCCTGGTTGTGGATTCCCTGCTTGTCTGACATTGCTTACTGCCTGGTCCCTCATGGTACCATTGCACACAATTGAACTGCTTGCTGTGTGTGTGTGTCCGGTTGATGCCGGCTACTCCCCTGTTTTGGGATCCCTCCTAATTGCTCCTCCTGAGGTTTCTAACGTTTTTGTTTTTCTTGGGGAGTTTTTCCTTATCCGCTGTGAGGGTCCAAGGACAGAGGGATGTCGTACGTTGTAAAGCCCTCTGCAAATTGTGATTTGTGATATAAGGCTTTATAAATAAAATTGAATTGGGGTACGTTATTGATCTCATTCTCCGCAGCTGGAAAGGTGATGCAAACTGTGTTCTCCAAGAGCTGAAATGAAACCTTCACCTTGTTGTCTGTCTCTAAATTAATGTTACAAATTGGTTCCCACAAACCGGCCCCTTTAGTATGTCAACTAACTAATGGCAAATCTCTAATTCCAACTGTAGGAAAGTCAGCTGCTCCAGTGTGCAGTGGTGGTCACAGTTAAATGAATACAGCAACATCATCTGCAAAAAAGCAAGAATACAAAACTGACATCAACAAACAGCAGTGATTTAAATGTTTTTTGTCCTGTCTGAATTAAAGGTCTTAAGATAGAAGGTGCTGTGAAATGATTTTTTTTTCATACAACAAACAAGTGGTTGGATTTAGGAAAAAAAAACAAAACAGGGTTTGACTTAAGAAACATACGAGATGCAAATGCCACTCTCTTGGGTGAAAGTCAGCATTTGTTGGACCCATCCACCACCCCTCCTGCCTGCCCCAGTCGGACTTTTGCCACCTTAACTTTCGTCCTTGTCCTACTGTGTTTCCCCCTGACACTGCTGGGCACCATTAAACTTTAACAGCAATCCAGCGCGTATCAAGCTGACGTTAGACACTTTTTTTCGTTGGTTTCTGATGCTGCAAGTCACTGCCCAAGTGCCGGATTCCGATGATTTCAAAGTGAGACCAGGCTCCCTAAACCTGACCTCCATAACTTAACGTTAATTATGTAACGTACATTAAGGACGTAACGTCATTCGTGGAGCACAAATTCGTAAGATATCATACGAACCATTCTATGAGAATACGTTGGGTTAATCACATGTTGCTCTGAGCAGGAAGTGCAAAAAATGCAGCTTTGTTCATGTTGTTTATATCTTTAATAAAGAAAAAGTCTGACGTCTTGTCGTATGTTCAGCTAACAAATTGTTGATCATGGCCAGTAATGAAAACCATCTTGAATCGACTCTGAACCCGCTCCTGGGACCTCTGGAGCTGTCTCATGGTTAAGTATTTTTGATGAATACCTGCCATTCCTAAATTTGCCAGTAGAATTTAAATTTGTATAAATACAGGTCCTGATCGGCTCCTGTTCTTCCTGCTGTGATAAATTTTTCTTCCATCTGCTGATTAGTTTCTTCTCTTTTTCTTCTCAGGCTCACCACATCTCTATTTCTTCTCTGTCCATCTCTATTTGTCTTTGACTTTCTTCACACCACCGTCATTTACTTTCTAATGGACTAAATCACTTGTCCTCTCTCCATCTCTCCACCCACGAGCCTCTGACTTCAGCCTACATTTCTCACTGAGGGAAACTCGTCCTGGAAGGTGTTGTCAAGACGACTGCGTCTTTAACGGTGACTGTGTTGACACCGCGGCAACCAGGGACTCCAGTTTATTTGGGGTTCATTAGTGCTTGAGGTGGTGGTTGTAATGTCAAGGAGCCTCAGAGGAGCTCCAGGCGACAAGCATCTTAACTACAGACAGAGTGTGTTTAGAAAAATTTAAACCTGAGCCGACAGACGGTTTGCTGACGTTCAGTTGTTTATCCTCACTGACTCATCTCTGTGTGTCTGCACCTTCAAACATCAATAACACCATTCGGCCCCATTTTTATAAATTCCTCTTTGTCAGACGCCTGAATCTCTCCAAGAGAAGTAGGGCGGATTAGACCAGAAAATAGAAAAATGATAATCCCTCAATTGAATTTCATCCTTCTTTTCAAAACACCTGATTATGTAAAGAGTATCTGTGAATGTTTAAACCTCTTCCTCTGTCACACTGAGGTGCAGGAGGCTGTTTGGGATTGTGTTCACACAAATAACCCGGACAGTGTTTGATATTTTTCACTCTACACACAAACATGACATGTCAGAGAGACGACGGATGCTGACGTTTGTTTCATTAACAAATCAAACGCCCCACTTTGAATTTGTTGTGATGATAAGCATGTGGGAGGTCTTAAATAGTGTGTGTGTGTGTGTGTGTGTGTGTGTGTGTGTGTGTCAGGGGGCTTTTATAAAAAGGTCTGGAGGTTGACCCTGAAGCCAGTTTAGTGTCTGATCATTAAACGAGCAGCTGTCACCAACAGGGACGATCAATGTAAGTACCTTTAAGGGACTGTCATCGCTTAACAAAGCTCAGAGTGTGACTTTGTGTGTTTGTGTGTACGAGTTCTTCTAGCTTTGTTTTTTAGTTACACTTCTGTAACCTCTGTATCCTGCTCTTCTGTCAAAGGTCGCCTCTGTAAATATGATGATTTATGTTCAACTTGTTTGTCTGTTTTGGGACAAACTGCTTTGTGATTTTTTTAGGCAACACATTTTCCTGTCAAAGTTAAAAAAGTCTGACTTTATAGGTCATTGTGATGTATTTAAAAAGCCAGTAACAGATAACGTTTTTTGTCAGATTAACATGAAAAACTGAGGAGTTGAATATCAGAGTTGTTCTTTTTCCATTTGTGTATTTCATTAATTAACTTACAGCTGGACAAAACAGAGGTAATTTTGAGTTGAATTTAGTTTAGTTTAGTTAAGAAGGAACGATGCAAATTAATATTTGAATGCCAGAATTTGCCAAAAGGTAATTTCTTCAGCCAAGATGTTACACAAGGCTACCTAAAATACAACAAAGCACAAAAAAGACTTCTTTGAACACAACAAGAAATGATTTTAACTTGATTGTTTAGTCACAAGAATGTGAAGATCATCAAATGTGTGATTCAGTGCTCAAACCTGAGGTTGATGCAATATAAGAAGACATACAATTTTTAAAAGCACTAGAGGCAGTAGTGACATATTTCCATATATAACAAAATTGTGACACTAGCAGGATTTATTATTTTTAGGCTATTAGCAGCAGAAAAGACTTCCATTGTTTTAATTGGTTACTGAAAGATCTATAAGTGTTTAGTTCTCTGATATGAATTGGATTTACATTCCACTCTCGAACCTCTTACAGACCATTTTCACTGGCTAAAAGCACTTTTCCTCTCCTCTGAGACGTTTGTCTTAGTTTGAATGTTTATATGTTTTTCTTTTCTGCTTCGATCCAGCATCCCAACCGGAGTTGGGTTACATTCGTACGTTGTTATATAGTGGTGGATATGCTGAAGTGTCACAATGAAACTTTACATTTCAGCAATGCTGTGGTTAAATTGAAGTCAGGTTTAGGCACAAAAAACACTTATGGTGAAGAGAAGATCACATTTTGGTTTCAAATACTCACTTTTTGTGGCCGTACCCCAGCTGAAAATGCAGCGATGTCTTGGTTAAAAGAAAAAACACTTTTTGAGGCAGCATCTGCAGTGGAAATACAGCGACAGCTCAGTAAAACACAACCTGTATTGTTTTTTGGTCACACATAATGGTCTGCAGCTTGGCAGGCATCTTGCTTTGGTGTCTCACCATCCACAACCACCTTCTCCCGATGACAAACTTGGCTCCTCTACATGAAATCAGAAATACATTGCTTTAGAAACGTTGATATGACATGTATGATGCCAACATTTTCTTCTATTGACGGGGCTGTTGGATCAATCGATCAGCTTGACGCTCAGTCCTACAAACCTACAGTTGCAACCCATCTGACTCCGAAGACGTTGAAATTCGATGCTTGGGCAGTGACTTTCAGCATCAGACACTACTGAAAAAAGGCGTCCTTTAACCTAAACCCAACCACGTGCGTTAGTCATCAAATAGCATTGTTGTACTGATGTAGTGCATTTATTTTGAAAGAGACTGTATGTAAATATTACGTTTCCTGTGAAAACAGAAGGGAAATTTAAATGAAGACAATGCATATAACAGGCAGAACTTGACACGATGTCTCAGAACGTCAACAACCAATACACCCATACCAGGGTATGTTGTATCTGGATGTAAAAAGTCCATGAGCAAACATCAATATATGACGAGGCAGGAGCGAGAATGAGTTGATAGTTACCAATAACGCCTTCGTCTGCATAGACCCACAGAGACGTTTACATGTGTCTTCAGAAAAACATAAGTCAAGTCAGAGAGGGGAGGAACCTGAGCTCTGATTGGTTGCTCATCTTACCCATTATCGCATCTGCTTTCAAGAATTGCAACCTTTTAAACATTTAACATGAATTTCCATTTTTTTTGTCCAGTTAAAATGTATAAAATTGAAAAATAAGAGCCCAAAATCTTTATTTGGTCTTGACTTACAGTGATCCTCAAATCAAAATGTATCTTTGGAGATCAAACACTTGGCAACGTGACAAAAAAAAAAGGTCACTGTTTTCAGCTGTGTTCACTTTGGTCTGTACAGGAAAACAACACAGCGTCAATGCAGCTGTGTGCACAGCTCATCTTACGTCATGTGTACGCTAAATTCAAGAAGGAGAAGATTAGTATCTAAACATTGGCTTGAGTGCGTCAGATGATTGAGGGCAAAGATGTAGATCAGACATGTGATTGGCAAAGGACAAAAAGCAGGGAAATAAACAGGATTTATTTCTATCTATATTCTGAAGGTTTTTACAGAGGGTATTCAGATGTCTTTCAGAGCCTGATGTATGGAACATTTTAATCCTACAAACATGGTGACAATGGATTTTTCATGGCAGTTGAGATTAATTGTTTGATTTACAGAGTGATGAAAAGAGATATCCAAAATCCTCTCTGTCTCTTATGTGTCAGCAAAATGACACAAGAATTTTGAGCGTGGCTGTCTCTAATGTTCAGATTTCCGTTATGGAAATATATGCAAATCAGCATATATTTAAAGGGGAACAACACTTAAATTAAGAATCCCAATATGTTTTTTCCGTGATCAAGGAAAGGTTAATCAATATTTGTGAACATGAGCTGCTCCCTCTCAAAGCCACAAACCAGAGAAGTAAAGGCCTGAACATACTCGGGCATACTATTAGCGGAACGGACTCCGCAAGGAATGTCCGCAGTCATTCGGGCTTTCATAGTCGAGCACACTTGTTGTGAAAAATGTGTGAAAAATACATGCCCAGCAGTCACTGGTGTGCGGAGCGGAGTCCACGTGGTCGTAAAATCTGAGCTTTGTGTGCACAGGGCTTGCGGACGTCCGCTTTGAGTCCGTGCGGACCTCCGCGGAGTCCGTTCCGCGGAGTCCGTTCCGCGTACGTTCCGCCCGAGTATGTTCGGGCCTTAAGTCTCAAACTTGTGATGTCATAGGGTATAAAGTCTGGAGCTGCTCCACAGACAATCACAGTCCATCTGATGCTCGTTTTGTTTCAGTTTTTGCTGTTTCATCACTCCTATATATGCAGCTGTAGCCAGTATCTCACTATCACTATCCTCATTCATATTTTAAGAAGCTACAAATTATATTCAGCCACAAAGTAAGCCTGAAAAGCTGCAAATCAGAACAAAAGTTGTTGCATAGAGATGATACACCATCTCATATAGTTGCATTGGTGTAAACCAGCAGGTTTTTAGAACGTTGCAGAACAGCGGATTGAAAGTAGTTGCCTGTTTCAACTCATCTCATCGTGAATCTTTAGTCTGAACTGGGATTAAAGAGCAACTCCAGACTTTATACCCTATGACATCACAAATTTGTGTTTAGCATTTCAGTTTTTGGATTTGGGAGAGAGCTGTTAATGTGAACTAATATTTTTGGACTGTCTTCGACCACAGGAATAACATGTATGAATTCTGACAATGGGTGTAGTTCTCCTTTGATTAGATAATCCCTCATTTGCATATTTAAACACAAATTTTCTAAAATCTTAAAATACAAAAAGTTTTTGTCTGAATGTAAGTCTTCAACTGGGGAAGTTTCATGGTGATATCTTTTTGTTAAAAATTCTACTGTATTCACCCGTACTGTAGGCACATTGTATTTCGTGTAGCTCAGATATACAACATTTATTTTTCTGACTTTTCACAAATCTTTGCTCTTTTCTAATGAGTGATTGCACTTCTTTTGAACTCAAGAAGTTATTAAAGTATAACAACAGCAATGAAAATCAGTTTCTCTTTGAACTTGTCATGACTGATGGAGCCAACCAGTGGTGTAGTCGAGGGTAGAAACAGGTATGCAGGATATACTCACCTCTTTTTCTGCTGTTTATAGCATATGCACTGATCAGCCAAAAAGCCACTGGTAGATATAGGAGAGTAAACTCATTTTTTCCCAGGTAACCTACCCATCTACCCAGAAGTATAAGTACCTCTACACCACTGGATCCAACCAGTGACAAGTGGTTAAAAATAGATATTGCTTCAGGGGTCACAAACCAAAAAGGTTGGGAAAGCTGATCCAACTAGCTAGATGTTTTTTGATGCTCCCTGATCTTTTGTCTTTGACATGAAGTGTTTGTTGCTGTTTTGTTTCAGAAGATGCAGATTTCCCACAGGCCTGTGCAGTGGCTCGCTGTCATGCTTCTTGTCAACTTTACAACCGCCCAGTGTCAACAGAACGAGAGGTGAGACGCCTGTTCCCGCCCAATGTCAATGTGTTTACATGCTAACTGTAAATGCTTGTTAACTGCTTTGACACAGAAGTAGAGTAGGTTCATGAATGTAGCAGTAGGGACATGTTTGGTGTCATCAGCTGTAGCAGAGGAGCACTTTTGAATATATACAGACCCAGAATCACAGCAAAACATCAAAATGTCCACACAAACACATCAGCTTCCTATACTCCCAAAAAGGACAAAAACATCACAGATTCAACATAAAAGAGAAACCTGAGTCAAATTTAAAGTCAGTGCTATATACATTTCAGCATTCAGTTGTATCAGTATTATCTTTCTTTCTTCAGTGTATTTTGAATCTGTGTTTGGATGAACTGTCTGATTTCTCTCTCCCTGCAGTCGCCGAGCTGTGACCGAACACCAGCTGATGCACGACCGCAGCCGAAACATCCAGAGTCTCAAGAGACTCATCTGGCTGTCCAGCGCCATCGAGGGTCTCCACACCGCCCAGACTCGGTCTGCTGCGTACAGCCCCACAAAGGTCCTGAACCTGTCTCTGAATCCAGCGCTGGTCCCTGCTGCTGTGAGCCCCCAGCCCACCCGGGTGCAGAGCCTCCTGAGAGACTTCTTTAATCCCTACCTGACTCAACAGCCAGACAGAGAGGCCTAACGTCACTTTGATACACAAACATAAAGTGAACATGTATATAAGAAATAATCATTATCATTTGTCTTTGGTGCTAAGACACTAAGACACTTATTCAGGTGCAGACATGTCCAAATGTCTTCAAAAGTTTAAAAGCAGATTAAATGTTTTGTTCCAGAGGGCGTTCATTCCTGTTCCTAGGGTCCTGCATTCCCCACATGTATATGGCACATAATGGGAACCTGAAAAAGCTGTTAGCTGTTAGCTGTTTTGACCAAAAGTTTATTTTGGAGAGGAAGAGACATCTGCAGATAATTCACCTGATGGTAAAAACGTCCTGAACAGTGAACACAAAGGGAATTCTAAACAGGAGAAGTTTCCGCTGGTTGTAATCTGCAATCCTTACCACTAGACACAACTAAATCCCCCTAAATCATACACACTGTTCCTTTAATATGACATGAGTTTGGTTAGGGGTCTATAAGCATGATCCTGAGAGTCCTGAAATTTCACTGGCACAGGTCTCAGTCTAGATATTAGTTACTCTTTCTGCCTGAACAGTAAGTCCCAAACTCATCTCAGCTCTAAATTCAAAATAATAACAATTAGTCATCCAATTAATTCACCAATTAAAAGAGAGGAAAATGTAAAACAAAAGATAAAAAAGGAGAAAAATAATTATTTAACCTTTTGGGGTTAGGAAATCGATAGTAGATAACTACTGCCATGTCCATACAGGTTTAGATAAGGAGAGAGGTCCAGTGTCAGGTTAGAGTCAGAGAGCTCTAACAATCAACTACTGCTTTCACCAAAGGTCAGGGTTAACTGGATTTTTTAAAAATATATTTATGATATATTTTAACTTGAAATGGGTCAAATTCGACCCAGACAAAATAGGAGTGTTAATGTGCTAACAGAATATTAAACTGGGAAACATAGTACCCTGGGAACACAGATAAGGTCCTGTGATGAAGCATTGGTCAAGGTGAACTTCATTACACTTATATCAAGAGCTGGATGATATGACCAAAAGATAAAAATGTTTTCAAGTGTGGGGATGATTCATAGTTTTAATCATTTTTATTCCTGTAAGAAAAAAAAACAAGACTAAGAAACAACTGAAACGTCATATTTTCTGGTCTGTATGTGCAAAAAACTGAGAATATGTGGCTCGTTGGTCTCGGGGTCTAATTTTCAGTTACAGTGTGAAAGGTCTGGGGTTCAAATCCCGGCCCAGCCCTGTATTAACTGCATATCATGTCTCAGTACGTGTACTTTGTGCAATGACAATAAATAAATGACCAAAGACTTACGCCTGTTGCATTTACATGTTGTACAACACTGACTGACCATATATGAGGAAGTGAATGCTGATTAAAGCAGTGGTGGAAAGGAACATAAGTACATTCACACAAGTGCTTTACATTAATACAGTTGTGAGGTAGTTTACATTTTATGTTGCTTTCTACTTCATTTCAGAGGGATATACTGTACTTTTTAATCACTACAGTTATATGATATCTTCTATTACTTTACAGATTCACATTATTAATACAAAATATAATCAATGAATAATATATTATGTATTGTTATAGGTTAAGCCACCCAGCAGCCTCAGCCCACCACTTTGTCAGTGATTTTAGTGTCAGCCACCGACACAAAAAGGCACCTTTTCCGGCAGTATGATATGCTGCTTGGTGGCGTCAGTTTATAATACCAACCCTAACCTATAGGGCAGGCAGGTGGGGCAGTGAATGTGTCCAACAAACACAGGACTTTCACCCAGGAGCTTGCTGTTCATTTCCTGTGTAAATGTTGAGCCTAACAATGATATTTTTTCTAAACCTAACCTAGTACTTTTGTTGCCAAAACCTATACATGTGTGTTTGTTGGAGTAAATAAATATTAAAACAAGAGGTTTTACGCATCTATAGAGCAGAAACTACACATTTCCTGTTAAATTGGCATTGTAATTTGAAAGACAGTACATGTAACACAGCATTCCAGAACATCAACAACAGACGCAGGAGGGTGCATAGTGCGACATATGTAGACGTGAAAGTCCACGGACAAAACGGGTGAAAACATGTGGCAGCCAGCTTGGCAGCCTATATTATTATTATAACCTTTATTTAAACAGGGAAGGCCATTGAAAGCTTCTCTTTTACAAGAACACCCAGATTACAGTACATAGAAAACAATAAAAGCACACAAAAATCACATCAAGTTATAAAACAATATAAGATAAAGTAATTAAAATCATCTCCACCTTTACCAGCTTTAACACTTAATAAACAACACATTGATGTGTCAGTTTTACTCTGTACACTCTTACGTCAGTAAATTATCTGAGTACTTTTAAATATACTGTATAATACAATAGTGTAAATGTCTGTGTCCTGTGGAAGGCAGAAACTGAATGAGCATCTCTGCCTGGGAGACCTGACCCAGGGCATAAACTGTAGCTTCATCTGAGACAGCCTCGCGAGATCTTCTTGACGGCTAACGTTAACTAACGTGAACTAGCTTGCTGTGACAACCACCACAGTGACACCGGTCGTGGTGATCCACCTCCAGCTGCTAAACGCCCCTCCGGTGGTCTAAGTGATAGAGAGACACTCTAAAACTAACCACCCACAGAGGAGACCTGTCTGTCGGCTTGAAGCGCCCTCACAGCCCCCCAGAGTGTCCGCGGCTCTCGTCCTTTAATCGGCCAGGTCAGTCGGTGTTACATCCGTCAGTTCAGCAGCACGCTAGCTGTCTTCAGGGCTAGCTAGTCGAGCTAACTTATGCTAGCCGCAGTCATCACGGGAGGTGTCAGTAGTACTCTCTGATTTCATTAACATCTTTAATAGGTGATGGTATTTCAGCATTGTTAATATAAAGAAGTGATAATAAGCCAACAGCAGGCGAGTAACTTAAAATTTCCAAACTGTCACACGTCTTCCGTAGCTACCAGCCCGGCTAATGCTAACCTTCAGCACCAGCAGTACTGATGTTGAGTTAGCTAGCAGCAGGTATGCTAGGCAGCATTAGCGAACTGCTGAAGCAGGTTGTTTTGCTATCGTCAGTAGCTCATGTGTTGCTGACAGTCACAAGAAATAGTTTAGCAACACAGAGTAACACGGGCCATCAAGTGGGTCTTTCACCATGTCTTTGATTTGTACAATTAGCAACAGTTAATTGTTTAAACCCTGGTAATGTCTGCAGATAATGGTGACTTTGATGTTTGTGTCACAGAAGTCAAGTGGATAAGACAAAATAAAACTCTATTTATTCAGAGGGGAAGTGCTCTGCAGCAGTTGCAATACAGAGAATGTAAATATACAAAAGACTAAAACAACAGTGAGGTGCAAATATATTTATGTAAAATAGATAACAGCAAAGTGTAACAAGGCCTGAGCATAAAGATGGATACAAATCCAAATATACAATATCTACAATGCCATATTTAGGTTGCCAGTATGCATAATAAATATGGTAGGGTTGTATGTTAATATGTGTGTGTACAGCATCAAATTTAATGTAGTTAGTATAAGAGACCAAGAGTGTTGTAACGTGGTGGTAGTTGTACACTCCTGATGTAATCAGTAGTAGTTATACTTTCATGATGTCATCAGTGGTACTAGCAATATCACAAGTGTGACTGTTCAGAGGAGTTTCTGACCATTTTGATGGTGGTGAAAAGTAACTAAGTACATTACTCAAGGACTGTACATAAGTACAGTTTTGATGCACTTGTACTTTACTTGAGTATTTTCACTCTCTGCTACTTAATACGTATACTTCACTACATTTTAGAGGCAAATATTGGACTTTTCACTCCACTACTTTCAATTAATAACTACAATGCAATAAAATTGCTTCTCTTACTTAAGTAAAAGATATGAACACTTCTTTCTCCCCTTCTTTTCTTCCCTGATATTAATAAAGTGTTTAACTTTTTACAATAATTTATAACAGTGACAATAATCCAAACCTAAAAGATAATCTCTCTTTATTGAATTATGTCCAACTCAGAATATCTAAAGTACAAGATGAACCACTAGAAGAACCACAAGTAATTGATGATCCCCTTTGAAGTATGTGAACACCACAAGATTAATTAGTAGCATTTCTGATCGCAATGTCAGTAATTTTTCAAGTTAAATGTGAGGGTTTGCTGCTTTTCTGTTTTACATCATTGTTAAGTGTATATCTTTGGGTTTTGGACTGTTGGATTTGGACAAGACATTTGAAGACATCACCTTTGACAAAGCTGATGTCTTCAAATGTCTTGTTTAGTATGGCCAAGACATTTGAAGACATCACCTTTGACAAAGAAACTGAGAAAGAAATCATCAGCTTGATAAGTTTAGTAAAATGATTCATGGGTTTTGTGAATCTGTATTTACACAATATGTTGTGATATTTTCACTGGACAGTACTGTGATATTGTGTTTTGTCTTCTTAGGTACTGTCCAGCCTCATCCAGCCCCACTGTGGATCTTTAGCCCCTCCGGCAAGACAGTGGCAGAGGCAGAGCCAGAGGCATCAGGGACCAGATCAGCAGGCAGCAGGGCTCCATGAGCGCGACGGGGCAGCAGCAGCAAGGGGGGGGCCTGCGTTCTCGCCGAGGCCTTGGCCGGGACAAGGACCCTGGGCAGGGCATGGGCATGGAGGCGGCCTGCTGGCTGGCCCCCGGAGTGCTGCGCAGGCTGATCGAGCTGCCCTCGCCCCCCCTGTCCCGGCACCAGCTCAAGAGACTGGAGGAGCACAGGTAAAGCTGAGTCCTGCTCTGCTGACCCGAGACAACCTTAAACTGAGTTATTTCATGTTGTGTGCAGTGAGTTCATCTTGTTCTGTGGTCTAGCAATGATATGTATGGGAGAGTGATGCCCAGAGGTTAAGCCATCTGATATGGATGGGTTAGTGTGAGGTGAGTCGTTGGCGTAATGTGTGCTCTCTTGAATGAAAGGGGTGTTTGTCAGTTTGGACACTTCAGACTCAGTTGCTGTTGAGGATGAATGATTTGTGGAAAGTACCTACACAGTTTGAAGATATGATTGTATCGAGAATTTCATTTCAACTTGGACAATATCAAGTAAAATAATGCAGTAGTTTCTGGTTTCTTTCCTGCCAGAGTTAGTCAGTGAACCTGAGTTGATATTGCATTAAGGGTGTGAACATAACTTTACTTGATAATATTTATATAACATTCTAAAGTGGCATTATATGTATTCATAACAGCTGCATAGTTCAGCTGTGGTCAAGATGGAAAAAGTGCTAGTGTGTCAAATCTGACAGCTATTTCGTAGAGGACAAAGTGATGATGGCTCTGCTGTGTAGCTGCTTAAGCTAACATCAGCCTTACAGTTCTGAAGCCTGGACGTCCCAGTTCAGAGCTTCTAAAGGGTAACTTTTGTGTTTTACAGCCTGGAACCTGTTTTCCCATGGGTTTTGTGTTGAATGGAGACAAGTTTTTTTTTTTTAATTTGTTCCAGCACTGAGCAAGGCTGCAAGCCACAGCAGCAACACTGTCAGCAGTGTAACTGCTCAGGGCATGTTTGCAACGTCAGTTTGTGCCTGCTAAAAGTGCTTTTGCCACTGACAGGCTCAGATTGTTATTTTACGTGTCTGACAATGTTATATAAAAGACCCCTAAAAAGAAAGATCTTTTTGTTTAAGAGTAAGATCCTTTTTGTTTGACCAGAAACAGCCCCAAAATTACTACTGCCAATAAACAGTCATTTTATCATGGTAAAACACACTTAAGTCAAAGTCGACAAAAAAGGAAATGAAACTAACAAAAGCCGTCTTGGTTTGTCTTGTCTTTCCACTCTGGTTTAGTTGAAGAAAAAAACCCTTAATTCAAATTACTGTTTATTTAAATGTCTGATAAGGTTGGCAAGGCCAATTTCAGGGCTGTTTCTGGCTGAACAAAAAGGATCATATTCTTTAAAAAAAAAAAAAAAAAAAGATCAGTCTCTTTAGAGCTTTCCATAAGTTATCAGACACTTGTAATAACAATCTGAGCCCGACAGTGGCAAAAACATAGACTTTTATGTATGTAAATTGACGGTGCACAAATGCTCCAAGTGGTTACGTTTTTGGCTGCAGCCCTTTCGTTCAGTACTGGGCCAGTTAAAACTCTTTCACGTCGGAAGTTCAGTATAAAAATAAGCAAGTGATCAGTCCCAATTAAAGTCAATAGCAGTCATAAAGATTATTATTCAGAGCTCACCTTGAATCCCATGTTTTTCCCTGCAGGTACAGCAGTGCGGGACGCTCCCTGCTGGAGCCTCTCATGCAGCGTTACTGGGAATGGCTGGT